GAAACGCCAGATAAAATACCTCCGGACAAAGACTTCCTATTAAGTGTACTAAGTGTTGAATAACTCCTGGAGGTGTTGCTCTGCCGTCTATCACTCCCTCATCAATGTCACAGTCAGTTTCCCTTCTGTTCCGGCTGCTTCCCACTGGGGTTTGTGGTGAAACTGAGCTTAGCTTCATAAAATTTTCCATCAACAGCAGCAAATAACAACAGGGTCAGGCGAGGAGAGTGTGGCCCTCGGCACGCACTATCGAGCCCAGGGCAACAGAGTTTTGGTTTGGCCTGTGAGATCCTCTCCTCTGAGGCTTCGTCTAGCCTTGGACAGCCTGGGGTCGTCGGTCAGAGGGGCTGTTTGGTGCTGATGGTGGGATGTTTAATCCCCTTATTGGCTGTCTGCCTTTTTTGGGTGGGATGAATGAGTGGCTGAGGTGTTACTCATTAAACCATTTGTATGCATGCTCTGAATAGGTGTGTTTTATAACGGTATTGTGTTGAGAGGAAGTAGGTGGCAAAGCTGCGTTCTGCCAAGAAATGTTCACTTTCAGCCCATTTACTTTGAGCATTGATGGATTTGTTTCTACCACACCCTGCTTCCCCTGAAAACGAGTCCACTAATGGTGGAATTCCTTTTTATTCCTTCTAGTCTGTATCTGACTGGAGAATGTCTCGCTTCCCTCACAGGAGAAAGCGCAGCATGCAGTTTGGGCCTATTATCATCTTGAGTACATTCCCGGGAAATAGAGAGGGGATTAAATAAACATTACCGTATGGCTTTAAATGACTTTACCCAGTAATTATGTGTAATTCTGCCTCATTAAGGTTTATTAATAAGCTTTTTTTATTGTTTTTGTTGAGAGCAGTTTGAGCTTCCCACTTTATTGTCAGTGAGAGGAGCCGATGAGTGCTCTTCTTTGTTTTAGCAACATTTCCATTCCTTCACTCCTCAAATGTACATTGCCTTTTAATGTACATTGCCTTTTAAGTCCACAGAGCTCGGTGCTGCTGACGGAGAGAAAAATACTGAAAGGAAAAAACGAAAAAGTAAGCTTTAAACACTGATGCAAGGAGTTTGTGACCGCATGTAAGATGGAGGTTCACTATTGACGGATGTCATGTTTGTGGTTAAGATCACAACAAATCCAGGAAACTATTTCCATCGTTCCCTCAGCATGACGCTGCTACCTCTCTATCTAACAGTAAGGAAGGTGTGTTAAAGCTGCTGTTTAGTGTTAGTTTCTCTACAAGTTTCATTTTTTGTTTCATATAATCAAAGTGCCTGCTTCCACATGTTTGCTGTGTCGCCTATAGCTTTTGTTGGTTCTTTGAATGACTTTAATTTGACAAGTAATTTTTTTTTTCTTACCCAAGATCCTAAAAGTATAGATTTTTGAAAAAGCATTAGCTGTTCTGTAAACTAGAGCTCTCAGGCACTTACGTACCATTAACCTCTTCTCTGATTATCCCTTCTGTGTTTTTTAGTCTTCATTATACTTTTTGTTGACTAATATTCTGCCAGATACATTTGAGATCTAAACTCAGGTTGACTGTTTAACTGATTATTACGCTTCAGAATAAGGGTTTTACTTATTAGATGCTTTTTTTGTCAATACTCAGTTAAAAAACTACTTCACAGCAGCAAGATGTGAAAAGGTTAATGGGATATGGATACTGCTGTAGGGGACTGTATGTCTATACATCTGGGGAACCATCTCACTTTGCTTGTAATATTCTCATCATCGCCATCAGACTTTGCTAAGGGGGTTTGTCAAACCCAACCCGTTTTGATGCAACTTGAAGCACAATTTGAAAGGATTTGTATTAAACAGTCATCCCACTTACAGCAAGTGTTGCATAGAACACTGTTGATGCTCTCTCAGTATCACTGTAAGTGACTTGTAGTCTGTAGAAATATTTAATTACCTTAAATAACCTGGATTTTAGGAGTAAAGCCCCAGCAGACACCAGAGTCACGCAAGCACGCTGTTTTCACTTTTCCCCAGCTGGTTATAATCCGGGAAAAATGGATTGAAAAACCACACAGGGATATTGTTTGGTTGGGAAAAATAAACTCCTTTCTACTGTCAGTCCCAGGCTGCTCTTAATTAGGAAGCAGAATCTGGTCTGAGTCATCCTATAATGACATGTTGCAAATTTATGTCATATCACTGTGGGGTCTCAAAATCCCATGACATTATCATACTGTGACTTGTGACACGTAACAGCTGCTACCTGCGCACAAACCACAGACTATCTCAGGTGATTGGTGCACATTGAGCTGCTTAAAATTAAGCGGATTTATTTTGGTCTTTATGTTCCTGTGACATTTTTATGATTCTGACAGCATCATCGGATGAACAAATAGGTGATGCAAACAACTTTGTTCATGTGTTAGAAAGTAACACAAATAAAATATTATATATCACATAGCAATAATGACAAATGAATTATTAAGCATCTATTGAAAACATATTTACATCTTTTCATTTTTATTTTTCACATTTTAGCCACTTTACAACTGCCTATATGCTTTATTTACATGGGGCGACAATGGCGTTGGATGTAGGAGTTTGCCCTGAAATCGAACCCCGGCTCCGACTTTCAGTGTCGTTGTGTCCTTGGGCAAGACACTTCACCTGCATTGTCTACTGATAGTGGTCAGAGGGCCCAGTGGCCCCAGTGTACGGCAGCCCCACTTCTGTCAGTGAGCCCCAGGGCAGCTGTGGCTACAATGTAGCTTGCCACCGTGAGTGTGTGCGTGAATGGGTGAATGAATGTAGTGTAAAGCGCTTCGGTCAAGTCTGCTGACTTGAATAAAGGCGCTATATAAGTACATGCCATTTACCATTTATTGGGTGTGTTTTTTATGGAGCAAATCAATGTGGAAGATAACTGAACAGTGGAAGTAGAATGGAAAACTTGTTATGTGTAATTATCCAACTTTTGTTCTAATACACCCCTAATGAAATCTAGAAAATGTTCTACAAAGACAGCTTAGTAGTAAACACAATCCATCTCCATGCAGTTTGATATAGGTTTTACATCCAGCAGCTCTGCAAAGGCCTCAGATATAGCCTGAGGCCTTTGCCTCAAAGACTATTGTCTATTGTCAGAGAACAATAGAGTAAAAAGGACCAAATAACTAATCAAACATTACAGTCAGAAATTCTGGGGAAGGTCAAGACTATTTTGGGTTTTAAAGGCAATATCTCAACCCTTTAACATCTGACAGAGATGTGTTTAATCCATCTTTAGAAAATGGAAAGCTTACAGCAGAGCTGTTCATGTAACAAGGCATGGCGGCCCACTATGGATGTCTGTGGTAACACTAGAGGAGCAGCAGAGATCCACAGCTCAGCTGGAGAAATTGTTGACAGGTCAGTGTTTGTTGCAGAGTAGCATGAAGAAAGGTGTATCTGAAAGAGCTCCATGAGGAATCCTGTTTGCATCTTGTAACGAGTGATGCAGGGGACTAATAGAGAAGGAAATGCTCTGATCAGATCAGACCTGTGTATGAAAGAAACCAGCCATGCAAACAGCCTCACATGGTGCAATCATCATGTTTTCCTTTAGCTGAAAGCAGGCAAAAGTTGATGAGAAGATGGATGAAAGCAAAATTAAAAACTCCTTTTCTAGATGTTTGTTGGAAAAACTTAAAATAAAAGCTTTTATCCCTCTTTTTCCACATTAATACACTTCTTAGTGTTGATGTAGTATATAAAAAAGCTCTAAAGTTTGTGTTTGAACCATAACAAAAAGTGATGTTCTGTGAGCTCTTCTCCAAGGCGGTCTATGTCCACCTGACCCTGATGATAATAAATCCTTTGGTATGACTAGTCTCACTAATACACTGCATCATTTTGCGTGTCTACCCTCCTCTGACTCAGGCTCACTCTACCGTTTCTCTACCCGCCATTCGCTCATTCATCCACTTTCCCCGTCACCTTTTTTCACCTCCACGCCCACATCAATCAGCTCAGACATAATCCATAAATTCACAAGAATGAACTATTGTCTGGATGCTTTATCTGACTGACACATCTGGGTGTAAAAAGTAAAATTACGGCCATGCTGCAGGTTGTAGAAACATTTTTTATGGAGTGCTCTGAGACAGCAGGAATGTCTTTAAGGTCGTGGCTCTGGGTTTGAAGAACAGCTGTTCTTTTCTTTCGTTTGGGAATTCCTGCACCTCCCCTGTTGATTCAGAGGTCGAGAGGTGAACCAGGATTTATATCCCCTCTCATTCTCATTGGAGTGGTGTGTCATTGGAGAGTGGATGTTCTGAATGTTTATAGAATGCTTTTAAAAAAGATAAAACTATGGATCAAAGTCTCCGTTTGTGGTCCTAGAGGCCTGATGTGTGGAAGGAGGTGGATGACTGTAGCATCGCTGTTTGATCTTGGACTTGATGTGGTGGCACTGAGCTGGAGGACTGGGAAAGTTCTGCTTTAATCATAACCCTGTGAAGAGAGATAAAACAGATGAAGCTGCCAGAGTTACAGACTCTCTCTTATCCACATCAAATCCAAGAAGAGACAAAGCATGTTTCTCCGCTCCCCAAGGAGCGTTGTGCAGCGCCTGCCCAGACACACAGCACTCTGATTGGAAAGAGGTGTTTCTGCTTCCCGTAACATAGCAGTTTGTCAGTGCCTCGGGGTGGCTGATGTTTCTGTAGATATGGAAACTCAGACGTACCCAGGAGGAGTGTGTCACTGAGCAGGTACGCACGTAGAGTTGATTAGCAGACCCGCATCTCATTCAGAGTAGAGTCATGGAAACCAGTTTGGTTTAATAATTTGCAAAAGAAAAAAACAGCTACGACATTTAAGCGGAAAACAGAGCTACAAACTCCATCTTTTGAGTGTCTAACATCAGATAATCTTTATCAAACACACAGAGCAGAGTTTTTTTTTTAAATAATAGAAATGTTTCAATTACATAAAGAAAAAGCATTTCATTAAAGGTAGCACTTTAGAAAAACATCTGGGTTTACCCTTCCTGCAGGTGGTTCTGCGAAGGCCGTGAGCTGCAGAACTCCCCTGACATCCAAATCTGGAGGGAAGGAGACCTGCACACTCTGGTGATCGCTGAAGCCTTCGAGGACGACACGGGACGTTACACCTGCGTGGCTTCCAACAGTCTAGGAGCAGATAATACCTCAGCTGAGGTTTACATTGAAGGTCAGACTTTTAAGCTTCTGTTTTCACATAATCAAATACTAACAGTTGCAAGTGGAATATCTATATCATGCATGCATGATATGCATGGGTTAAAATCAATGTATTAAATATTTTACCTTATACCCTTTTATAATCTTAAAGTTTACTGGGTAACCCATACCATGCAGGCAAGCACATGACTTGTGTTTCAAATTCTCTGGTATTTTAAAGGTTAACAGCATAATAATCACTCTCCATAACTAACACTGTTCCCATCATTCACCCTTTTTTAAGGCCACTCATCAATAAGTGTTTGCAGCTGAAAATGACTTTTCCTCAGTTGGTTTCAATGTTACTGAGGAATTTCTGCATGTTTACATTTGCGGATGGAAAACACCATTTTTTTTCCTGGCATCATGTAAACACCAAGTTTGCATATAGATTGTGTTTAAGGGTTGTTATGGAGACATGGTTACTCAAGATTCCCCTCTGATGCAGTTTCATAAGTTTGAATCTGTTTTTTTTTTACCTTTCTTGCCTTCCTAATCACTGCATATTGGCTCAATTAGTAAAGCCTTTTATACACATATACAGCCATAGAGACCTGTATTGATGCTAGACTTATAATAATGTATTCATTTAAAAAAAGTGCAGATGAAGTTGTATTTATATTTATTGCATAGGATTTTCTTAACTATTACAGAACATTCGATTTTGGCTGAAAATCTTTTTATCTGAGGTTTTTATGTCACAATAGTAGAAGAATCATACCATCCGGTTTAGTACACATCTCCTCCAGACAGGCTCATTGGGTTTGCTTGTTGGTTTCATGTAATACACTATTTGTTTTTGCATTATAGTTTTACCAAACTCTTATAAAAATACATCCATTTGCAGAGCTGTTTTTATTATTTGTTCAGTGTAACATTTAAAGCTTTGTTTCATACTCTCATATTCATATTCTTTTTGAATTGTTATTGACAATATTTAAAGATACTGTACCACATAAAGTAACGTTAAAAAGTCTCTTTGGACCTTATACTAGAGGAGAGATAAAATAGGTGCCCATCAAAAAATAAACAAATAACTAATATGGCTCTTTATGGTAGCTTATATCTGCACTGATCATCTAAAGCAACATATAATAAATTTTTTTTGTGCCACCGGACTGATGTGGTAAAAATATATCTTTTAATTTTGTAAATGGTGTCAAATATTTAGGGAAATGTTTGTATCTGTGTTTGTTTTCTGCAACACCAGAGAAATTCCTCTGCAGGTTATTTACCGTTTTTATACAATGTTACAAAAACAGCCTCTGCTTTGTTTCATCCATTTATAGGGGCTTCATCATCGGACTCAGAAGGAGAAGGAACGGTATCAAAGTCAAGATCAGGAGTCATGCCTCAGTACGTGTGTTTCTGCATCGCCGTGACCTTATGACCCAATGAATGTAGGAACCCTGAAAGGGTTAACTGAGCCCTGCAGCAGCTATTAGTCTGCTGTCTGCTTCTCTTTAACCAGGCCTTTAAAGAGCCCTAGACCTGACCTAAAACATGGGATGCATTCCTTATAATGAAAGGTCTATGGGGTTAATATGAAAAAGAATTGCCGTGTCATGCCTGTCCCTTACACTTAACTCCAGGCTTTGACCTCTCGTGCGAGCTTTACTCCCTCCGTGTATGATGAGATAATTTATCAAAGCTTAAGCTGCTTCATAACAGCTTTCTTTACACCAAAATATCGCAATTTAATAAGGAATATAATCCAGGTCTTCTTCAGATTCTGGTTGCTCTCTGTCTACATATTCCTCAAGCATTCCTCCTTTTTCCTTCTCACAGAGCTCAGAAAAAAATGACTTCCATGTCCTTAACAATACGCTCGTCATCTCCCAAGAGCCCAGAGGTGGTTCCTCACCGCTCCGCTCTGGTCCAGTCCATGTCTCATCCCCCACAGCGGGTAAGTCCCTACAGCATGCAGGACAGCTCAGCCAAGCGCTGCTTTTAAACCTTTAGGAGACATAATAAAAAGCTTAATCTTCTCTTGTATGTGTGTATTATGATCTAGATGCAGAGCCCTCTGTCACTACTGCATGGTGCTGAGTCATCAGGCCCACCGCTGTTCACAAAGGTGAGTTTGAATGGAAAGTCAATTCATAGCCAGTTGTTTTTACATGCCTTGCATTTCTCATTGCTTCACACAGCTTGATAAAAACCCATATTTTACAGTACTTGTGTGATGACCAAAGTAATTATAAACAGGAGAGAAATTCTATCCTTTATATTTATATATATATATATATATATGAAAATCTGAAAAGTGTGGCATGCATTTATATGAATCCACACTTAAGGGTTGGTTATACTCCCACAGCAGTGTGTCGCAGTGAGCTGGTTGCAGGAATGACGCAGGTATTTTTGATTTATGCCCAATTTTGAAGCGTGGTCTGCGCTATGTTATTACACGCTACAACGCAAGAGGGACTATCACCAACTAGCTGTGGGTGTTAGGAAGTGGAAAAGGCAAGGGGCAAGTTTGTGCAACAACGGAGGGACATGAGGGTGAAAAAGTGCAGGGATCCAGGTGGAAAAAGGGTCCCAGCCTTCCTAGAAGAGCGCACCTCGCTCTTCTAGCTGGTCCAACTTCACAAGTCGTTTTCCACAATGGTGGTCATACAAACAAAACAAGCCAGTAATTTACTAAACAGGGAATACACAGAGTGTAGAGTTGAAGCCTCCTGTGTGCGGTCGCCTGCAATTTCGGTGAGGTGCACCAGAGTGTCTGCGGAACAGGCGGGAGCACGTCTGCATTAACTGCGACACACACGCAGATGACCTGGTTTTCTGAGTATAAATTAGCCTTAATTCAATAACTTGGCTGCAATCAGAGCTGACGGAAATCTAAGCAAGCTTTACAAACTTAACAAAACAAACAAACTGTTCTTCATTCTAAAATTTCTCAGGCTTGTGCCAAATAAATACATAAAAGTCTTTCTTCTTGTCATCCTTTCATGAAGATTGAGTTAAACCCAATAATTTCTATCACCTCAGCTGTGTCTACCCACAGTTTCTCAAGATTTCTCTGTAATCTGAATTTTTTTCGCTTCTCTAATTTATGCTCAGCTGCGCTCATGTTTAGTGTCAGATAAATATCTGACTATTTGATGTTGTACAGAAATCCTTTTCTTTTTCTTCCTGTATTTCTTAGCTCCTGTCATAAGCGTCGTTAGACCTATTTAAGGGTGGCTTCAGCCACCCTTTCTTTGGCATTAGCCACCCTATAATTATTTTGCGATTTTAAAAAATATAGCTATATATTTTTCTGTATTTATTTTTTCCCCATATTTTCCCAAAACAAATGCAGTAAAGCACCGAATAAAAGCCATAAAGAAGACAAGTTAATCTGAACAATCATAGGCGTAACTTCCTTAAGGACTGGTGTGGACATGTCCCCACCAATATTGTACACGTATTTTGCTTTCGGTGCTGTGTATATCTGATTAAAACCCCATTCATGCCGCTCCTCAGAAAGAAAATAAAAAAAGTTCTCCCCGCTGCTCACCGTCCACAAACCCCGACAAAAAAACTCAGAAAAAAGAATCTGTTGCCTCTCGCTTTCTCCCCATCACCCCCCTCCAACCTCTCCCCATAACATTTGAAGATATCCGCGGGTGACGGGTCGGATTCGGTAGTCATCCTAACGGGTTCGGGCGGGTGCGGGTTGGTAAAACTCGACCCGTGCAGGTCTCTAAGCTACACTACATTCAGTATCGTTGCCATAGAAACAGACAACAGCGCCAATATATCAGAATTATACTAAAACACACGCAAATAATTTCCCACATAAAAAACAGGACTTTCAGTCCATTACAGTTTTCCGTTTTTAGAGGGTTGTTTATTTTGTGTTTATTAAGTGATGGCTGTGGTATATTAGCTTTCACTGCTATAAGCTTTCGCAGCAGTGATTGATTAATTTAAACACCTGCTCTACTGATGGTCTATCGGAGTTGGTGTTTAGGTTGAACATAAAGAACACCTTTTGTTTGAAGCTTCTTGTAGCTACTGTTTTAATCCCGGCTTCACTTAAAACTTTTTCCTGACTTTGATAGTGTTGCCATTCAGTAGCAAGCACTGCGCCCCTTTTTCTTTTATATGTACACGTACATTTAAGATTTAGCGTGTTATGTTGACAACTCATGAGCAAGCTGCTTTTTGCAATCTAGCAGGAAGGTAAGGATAGGATCTTGCAGGTGTGACGTCACTCTGCAGGGGGTCCAAAGATAAAAGATTTAAACAATTTTGGCATTGGAATTTCAGATTTAAGGGAGTTAGAAAGTTCACTTAGTAAAAGTGCAAATAATAAATCTGATTACCGATTACTTTTAAGCTGGTTGAACATACTGCGACAGACTGGTGACCTGTCCAGGGTGATCCCACCTCTCACCCAGAACGTGGCTAGAGATATGTACCAGCACCTCCTGATCCCACTGAGGGATAAGGTTAAAGAAAATGGATGGTTGAACATGGTCCGTTCTCCCAGATTCTATCAAATCAGTATTGATACCCTCAGGGGCGGATTTAGGAAATTTGGGGCCCTAGGCAAAGACAGGCAGGGGGCCCCCTGAGAAGTAAACCCATAAAACAGACCCATTCTACAGATAGAGAAATGTTAATAGAATAGACATCCATTAATTGTTCTAGGTTTTGTCCCTCTCTTCTTGTCCCTTTTTCCTCTCTATTTATCAGCGTTCTGATGGCATTTTAGCCAAAGGATTTTTATCAAAAACATAATTAATGTGGACAAATAAGGATTAGTTGTATTAACCATACATGGAAACAGCGTTTTATGGGGCCCCCAGAACTTGGGGCCCTGGGCAACTGCCTAGTATTGCCTAATGGTAAATCCCCCCCTGGATACCCTGCTGGTGGATGTTCTTGACAGAAAGACGGAGTTGCTTAATCATATTCTGCTTAAGGCCCCATAAGATCTTGTCCGAGTCCTGGTTTAAAAGTAAATTAATTTTAAAAAGTGACCCAAAATTGACTGTCAATAAATGTTCTACAAAATTGATATATTTATTTGATTTCTTTGATTTGTACTGTCTGTTTAGATTTATGTGATATTTTTTGCACAAAATATATAAGTGAATATTGTAACAGTTTTCAACTGTAAGCATTAAATTGATAAATGTTATTCGCATTTTTTTGGCTTTATCCTTTCCAACAAAAAAAAAAAGGCGTCGCGCAGGTAGCTCCCTTTCCTTATGAGCCGTCCCCACCAACTTTCAACACAAAGTTACACCCTTGTCTTAGACAACGCCTTAGCAGGTGCACTGAAAAAATTCGGCGCGCGATTAGCGCGCGCATTATCTTCTGGGGCTGAGCCACCCTTGTCTCTAAAACCTAGAGACGCCCCTGGCTCCTGTTTTTGGTTAATTTGGTTCTTTCAGTTTTCTGTCTATTTTCTAAATTTTTAAAGTTTTAACTTATGCTCTGTTATATAGTTATTTTCTAGTCCCTGCTCTCTACGTGTTTGGTTGATGTTCATTGAATTATAAATTCATTTGTTAATTTAAACAGTAAATCAAAATAATTTACCACTATTTAAACATTTCTTAGGCAGTTAGTTGTTTCATAATTTTTAAGTTGATAAACTTAAAATATTGAAGTTATCAGAAAAAAATTGTTTTATAAAGTTTTACTTCTCTATTTGGATTTCAGTATAACTAAAATACTTCGTTTCACCTACTCACAACATTTAATTAGTACTATTTAAAGTTTTTTATTTAAATGTATTTGACACATTTTTTAACTGTTTTAAAAAGTTTTATCTTCTGTTGTTTCTTTACTCATTATCCAAATACTCCTTTTGAACCACATATATGCCATTTATATTATTGTACTAACACAAAACCTCTATTTATCTTTCTGCATGGATCACATCTCATTAAGTTCTCTCTCTGCTTCATTCTCTCTCCACCTGCTCTATCTCTCCCCTCCTCCATTGTCCTGAATTTTACTCTGTATTTTTTTTTTTTTACCATTGCTAAAAATTTCCCCATTTTCTGATCTTTTTGGTTCCGAATTTCTGATATTTGTGATATTTGCTTATTTAAGCAAACTTTTTAAATTTGATTTGAGACTTGCATTTGAATCCTACAAACAATCATGAAGTCAAATTGATTTAAATATCTCCGAAAACAAATGCACACATGTATTTTAAGTTATCTTTCAAAAGATCATGCATAATAAATATTTTCTACTTTCTCCTGGTCAATCACATAAAATCCCAATTAGATACAATTGTTTGTAATACGAAAAAATGTAAAAGTTTATGGGTTAGAAATAATCAAGAATGAGTCTGGAGTTGTGATTATTATAATTAATGATTAGGGATTTATTAATTCAACTCATTGGAATAGTTTGGTTAAGATTTGTTTATGAAAATAAAAGCTCAAAAGGTCGTAGGATTTCCACAAAGTTAGATACACCTTTGTCCAAAATATATTCACAAAAACTATAAGAGTAATAGCTATAAACAACAGTAAAGTCTTAACCATGAAAGGATGCACCCACGCCTGAACACCGGAATATGGAACAATATGCAGGCAATACATGCCAGTATATATATATATATATATATATATATATATATATATATATATATATATATATATATATATATATATATATATATATATATATATATATATATATATATATATATATATATATATATATATATATATATATATATATATATATATATATATGCCCTCAGACATCCCATAATAACAGTCCTCAGTGCTTTCACTTCCACCAGTCAGGGTCTGATTAAACAAAGATTTTATGAGCACTCCTCCTCTGGTTCAACCTCACCCCGTCTCCCCCTCCTCCCCCCTCAGGCTGTGGGTCTTATGATAGCTGAACTGAGACGGACTGAGGCAAAGCTTCAAACAGCCCTGCCAAACCCACAAGGGTCAGGTCCCCTTCACTTTCATTCAGCCTGTCAGGCCCTAAATCATTTCCCACTTCATTAGTAAAGGACATTTGTTTTTCCTTCACCCGCACACCCTGCTCCTTTTATAACCGCTGCCAGACTTTAATCATGACGTTCCCCTCTGGTCAGCACCGGTCCCCACTGACCCATGCGGCATATTTCTTCTGTGAACCTTCTTTCAACTGTGTCCATTGCTGAAAACACAGAATGTGAAGTTTTCAGGTGCAATGCTGCTGGGTGTTTTGTTAGATGCTTCAGCAGATATTCATAGGAAATTACAGGTGAACGTATTGACGGTACAGGTATCTACAGACCAAGACAAGATAATGCTGCGAAGGGGAAGCAATGTAATCCATGTTTACAAAAATGGAAAGAAATAGATATGTCGGGTTTTGATTAAAACAGTTTGAGTGTGCAGATTAAACTCCCTGAAAAGTGCATGCATTTCTACTGCTAATGTGGTTGAAAAACAGTACTTCATCTCACCCTGAGCACACCATCCCCACCTTTAAAACAAGATGTTGGATTGGGGCCTCAGCTGTCCAAACGTATTGGCTGCAAAGCCAGCACTTCATTAGAACTGCTTTAAATATGGGTAAGGCCTATTGTTTGAGCTTTTGAGTTTTCAGTTACACTTTGATTCTTGTCATTTTGTGTTTTCTATGTCATTAGTTTAATTTCCATTTAGTGTCATTAAGTTTTTTAGTTAAGTTTAAGCCCTGTTGTATTGATTGATTGATTGACTTTATTGATCTTGCAGTGGAGAAATGTACTTGTTATATCAGCTCAAATACTCAAAGAAGAAGAATGTGCCAAAGGAGGTAAAAGGTGCATGGGATATATACAGTATATACAGTGCATCCATGTATGACTGCTTTTTTCTTTTTATAGTAGGATCCTTATACCGGGTTATAATACAGTGTTTACCCAGGTATTTATATGGATGGATATTTATATTTATAGTTATTGCACAGGGTATCAAATAGTAATTGCATATTATACATTATACAGTTATTGCTGTTATAGTGTTGCATTATAGAGTCTGGTTGCAGCAGGGATGAATGACCTGCTGTAGCGCTTCTTTTTACAAACAGGGTGTAAATGTCTTTCACTAGAAGCAGCTGCTCAGCTCCTCTACAGTCTGGTGCAGAGTGTGGAAGGTGTTGTCCATTATGGATGAAAGCTTGGACAGCGCCCTCCCCTCAGACACTTCCTCCACTGAGTCTAGAGTGCAGCCTAGGACAGAAGCGGCCTTTTTCTCACTAGTTTGTTCAGTCTCTTTCTGGCCCGCTCTGCGCTGCCAGGGGCCCAGCAGACAAAAGCTTAGAGGAGGGCTCATGCCACCACAGAGTCATAGAAGGTTTTAAGCAGCGACCTGCTCATGTCTTGGTTACTCTCTCTTGTGCCAGTGTCCTTTCCCCTAGCTCCCTTCTAGATCCTTCTGTCCACACCTGCTCCCAATCAGTTGATTACTCCATTATATATATTATATATGATATACCCCTCCTCTGTACTTACTCTCATTCCCTCCCAAACCTATGTGTTCCCCTTTGCTCTGGTTCCTGTGTTCCTTCATTAGTTATTTCTGGAATTATGCTTCTGTTGTCACCACTCCTTATTAAATCTGTAAGAAACTTCCTTCTCTGCATTAGGGTCCTCTTAAAACCTCCACACAACCTGAGACTGACCATATTTAGAAGACCTAAAAATCAATGCACATAGAAGCTCTCCATCCAACATCAATTCATTTGAGATATTTTGCAGAAAATAATAAACAACTTTTACTGCTTAGATGCTGGTAATGCCATTACAGCAGATTTCTAGTGAAAGTCAAATACAGTCAATTAAAGGTACTCACATCTGTATTAGTAAACTAGGTATCCTTTCCTTAGACATCTCAAATATCCACAGTTTTCTGTTGGTCTATAATTTGAATACATTAAACTTTTCTTGCTTCATTTTCTTTCTGTATCATCAACAGAGCACATATGTTTTGAAAGATTTCTCTATAAAAAGATCCAATCGCTCAAATCAAAGGAAATTACAAGTAGAAGCATTTTTCCATGTCCTGAATCCCAAGCATGGACAGTTTACATTTCAACGAGACAATAGCCTGAATCTTTGTGAAACTGTCCTGGATAAAAAAGACCTCAATTTAGTTTGAGTTAGTTAAAAAAAGCATGTCTTAGAAGTTTTTTTCAAGTTCTACTTTGATGTGGAAATGATTATATCTTCAAACAAAGTCTGGACCGAATCCACTAGAATTTCGTGGTGCTTTAAGAGCAGACAGCGATACATATGTCTGAGCAGGATGTGAACCTTACTAGAAGACCCGATTTTCAGTAAAAAAAAGCTGCCCATATAATGATTTCCTTATTAGTTAAAACTTATTTTCCTCTGCAGCTAGTTCACCGCAGGCAGGTGCATTCTCTCAAAATGCATTGTTGGCTTTGGATGTCAACCTTAACTATTTCAAAGTGAGGACAAAAAAAAAACAGGTTTCTAAAAGAATGCTGCTGAACCATAGAGGATCTCTGGAGAGACTTAAAAAGACGTCGCTAATCTGTTTAATCTTGATTGTTCCTGTCAGGAAGAATGGGAGAGCAAAGATTCCAGAGCAAATTCATGCCAAGCTTACAGGTCCATTCCCAGAAAGACTCTAGGATTTAATCGAGGGCTAAAAAAAGCATCTTAATATCGATGCATATAACAGATTAACAAAACCATCCAAACAGATGTTTTTGTTTTCCCATTGTGGAATAGTGTGGGGATAATATTTTCACTGGAATATGGAAAAAAATAAATGAGAAAAACATGAAAAGCTGTCAAAACTTTGCACTTTCATGTCCAACAGGAGGGTTTTTATAACAGTGAGTGGCCTCAGTTCCTTAATTTAAGCATTTAACCGTCATCCTCCCTTTGTGTCATGATTCCCTTCGAAAACAGATTTATCTTTTTCATTATTCACAGTCCCTCTTCAGATGTGCTCTTCATCCTTCACTCATCCCATTCTTTTCCTCATTGCTGCTTTCTTTTAACTCTTTCGCTCCCTCGCAGCTCCTGCAGGACGTCCAGGCGTCAGAGGGCCAGGTGGTGGTTCTGGAGTGCAGGGTCCGTGGAGCCCCCCCCCTCCAGGTCAGATGGTACCGCCAGGGGAATGAGATCCTGGATTCTCCTGATTTTCGGATCCTCCAGAAAAGTGAGGCAATCTCCAGCTCTATAAAGCCGAGTAACTATCAGGCTCATGCTGACTAACACTTTTCTCCCTCCCCTCCTGTCCTGTCTGAATACATCAGAGCCTCGATCTGCGGCTGAACCAGGTATGTTGCCTCAGGTCCTTGCACGAATGTCAGCTATAAAGGGTTCATGTTCCTGCACACACAAAGAGATCAAATAAGTAATGAACAGGAAGTTTTGTCTGGAGAAGAAATCCAGATTTTTTCATGACAACCACAGTACTGCATTGAGAGGGAGTCCCATCTAATAATAATCATGATGAAGCACATATACAAGTAAAAGCAGTGCGTGAGTCACAGAGACATCGCCAAACAGATGTTTGTCTGTCTGCTAGTTTGTCTTCCACATATTCTCTGTGTCTCTGTAGTGAGTCATCAGTCTACCTGAGAACACCTTTGTCTGTGTGTGCTAATGGTCTTCTTGTCCACTGGATTTCTCTGGTAGATTGTATTAAAACAAATGTATAAATGATGTTCATCATGTTTGTGCATTTCAGAGGAGATCTGTACGTTGGTGATTGCCGAAGCCTTTCCAGAGGATGGGGGTCTGTTCTGTTGCACAGCGTCCAACACCTACGGCTCTGTCAGCAGCACGGCTCAGCTCACTGTGACTCCAGGTATGTCAGCCGCACAAAGATGGATGAACTTTACTGGGCAAAATCTGAGCGGCAATGCATGAAAAATATGCCATTAGATGTGGTGCATGTTTTCATTCATCTAAATTCCTCCCAAAATGTTAACGATAAGAGGAATTTGGGGATCAAGACAACTTAAATTAAGGAAAAAGTAAAAATTTGGACCTCTTTCCTCAGATTTTAAGCTCTTTAATTTCCTCAAATTAAATCTTCTCAAAGCTCCATAACAGAATGCAACAGGCTATTAATTAAATATGCTGACGTCTTAACTCGACTAAGTTAATAACCTAGTTAAACTGTTTAGATGTGAGTTATTTAGTGAATAGAATGTTGTGTTAATTTTCACGATTCCTAGTCATAAACCTGAACCTAAACTAGAATAAGCTTTAAAACACACGCAGACTTGAAGTGGTCCCACATTTTAGGCTTGCAAGCTTGGCTAATAGTTTAGCTAATGAAAATAGCATCTATTATCTAAACTGAAAACACTTAAAGAACACATTTAACCGTACCATATCATAAAACTTTATTTTGAATAGCACTATAAAAAAAAAAAACAAAAGTAGCAAAAGTTTTATACAGTAACAATACAAGAATGGGTGAAAACAATGATTTTGGACTTAAATTCTTTAAGCTATCATAACCGTTCAACTTTACTTTAAGGTTTTTTTTATTTTTTTTTATTCTGGATGGCACTTTGGGAATATTGTCATCAGCTCATCCTAACATTCAGAGCAACAGGGATGACCTATATCCACATTTGGTCATACGTGTTATGAAAAAGTCTTAAGCAAGGAGTTGATAAAAGATGTTTATTTACATTTTGTATGATACTATAGATATAGACTCAATATTTCAATATAACTTATTACTAACATGCTGCAATTAAATTCAATTCAGTTTATTTATATAGCACCAAATCACACCACACGTCATCTCAAGGCACTTTACAGTTCACCAGATCATACAATCAAATTGATTCAGTTTTCTATCTAAGGAAAACCAGTTGATTGCATCGATTCATTGACTTGAAGGCAATCTCTCACACTAAGTATGCTTGTAGCGACAGTGGAGAGGAAAAACTCAATTTTAAGAAACCTCCAGATTGAACAATAGTACTTAATTCGTATCATTTAAAGAGACACAAACCTGAATGCTTGGTGCCTTCAGAGCAGCAAACCAGATCATACTGTCTGAAGAATGAATTATTTTAAAATTTTAGAGTTTCTCCAGAATATATTTGATTTAGTCTAATCTTAAAAGAACGCTTTATTTTGGTGTCTCAAGCAAATAAAAAGACCATTCACAAAGCAAAAATGATCTAAAAATAATTAGACATTTCTTAAAATATGTGTATTCAACCTTAAGTTGTGTATGTATTTATGTTGATCTACCAATGGAATGAATGCTTTTACACTTAAAATAAGATAATTAAATTATTATAGTCTTGAATTAAGACAGTTCAGTTGTTTTTTCTTTTTTTAAATGTAAATTATTTTATTCTATTGGCAAAGAGTCTCACTTACCTGCTTAATAAAAGAAAAATGGACTTTGATTTTTTCTTCAGTGCAATTTTCTTTAGTTTAATGTTTAAAGATCATGAATTAGAATACATTTATCATATTATAGCCTAATTATGATTAGAACGGAGGTGTTAAACCATAACCCCAGGTTATAGCCAAGGTAATATATTATATATATTAAAGTAGAATTTGATCTTTTTTAAGAATAAAACTGTTGGCATGGTTTTAACAATTGTAATAATAACCCTGTGGTCTACTGAAGTTGCTCACCGGTGATTTTGCTGGTTGGGTTTATCTTTATCTGTCGGGATAAATTTTCACCAGATGACCTTCCTGCTTTGTTTATTATGTTATGACTGTATAGAGACAAGAAAGAGTTAAACTAGACACAACTATCTCTGTGTATATTGGCACAGACAGAGCTGTTAGTACAGTGCAGGATTCACCCCACAGCATAAAGGAAAGGCTGAATAAACAGGAATTGCATCAGCTTGACTGGTCCCAGCTGTTGCCTGGGATCAGACCAGCTGTGATGCACTGTGTTTGTATTGACTTTCCACTCGGTGACGTACGTGCCAGACTAGAGAAAACTAATTATCAAAGTAAAAATAAAAGACAAATAACATTTTTCTCTGTTTGTTTTCTACACCAGCTGAGGACTCATCCAGTAATGGCATGTCTGGAGATAGCTCAGGATTTGAGGATGTAGCCTCTTTTCCTCCTCCTCCTCCTCCGTCTCCACCACCCACAGAGATCAGCCTCCTGGAGCTGCCACCTAAGACGCCTCCTCAGCCCGGTTCCTTCCACGTCAAGGAGCTGGAGATCTGGCCCACTGTTTCCGCTCTCCCTGCGGTGCAAATTAGCTCAGAGGTAGAAGATAAGGACAAGGAGAGAGGGCAGGAACCTCTACAGAATGGTCAACCTCCACATCCACCATCACCTCCAAGCTTCCCTAAAGAGACCCCACTCCCGCCCCCTCCTCCTCCTCTGCCTCAGCCAGAGCTGGCAGCAGACATCCAGGTCACACCGCCAGGTCAGGCCCACACAGTGCCAGATTCTCCTCCGACCCCAGGGAAAGATGTTCCTCCACTGCCTACCAAGCCAAAGCCAAAGCTGTGAGTACCTTTCCTTCCCGAAGTGTCTGCATCCCAGTGGAGGTGTTACGTATTTAGAGGGCTGGGAGAACTGGGAGGATCTCCTCAGCCGGAAATGACAGTGTTGTGTTTCTGTTTTGTCAAACCGGTTAATGGGAGAATCCAATACCTTTGGAGAACAAAAGCATTAACTCCATGTGGGTGTCAGTGTGGCATCATGTATGCCAGGTGGAGTCTGCCAGCTGCTGCCTCTCTGTTGCTCTTACTGATCTCTGTGGCTTTTTCTCTGTGGCTCCCATTGTGTCTATGTGAGCTCGCTCTGCATGAAACCCCCAGGGAACAGCTTTTTATTCCCTTGAGGCAAAGGTACTCTCAATAAAATGTCTTCCGTTAACAAGTCACCACTATACTACCTTTTCAACCTCCCCCTCCCCTTTTCTTTTAGAAAGAAACCTGAGGAAAAATGTAGAGAAAGGAAAATGCATGAGGAAGTCTGTGCAACTGAGCTTTACATTCAGAATAAACCATTATGTGGTTAGTGTTTTAATCCCTCAGGCTTTCCGGATGCCTCGCTGATACATGCTCAGATATTTGCAGATTCTTTTATTCTGATGCTAAGTTTGACGTTATTTGTTTAAGTAGCCGCAGGCAATTCCTTTTATGTCTGATTTTAGAGAATACAATGTCGAGTTTGTTCTGTTAGTAACTAAGACGTTTTTGGGTTTGACTCTGGTACATTCAGTAATATCCTAAAAAAACTGATTAGTGTGGTTCAGTTCTACGCAGATAGACAACTCTGGAGGAAAAAAACATTTAAACATGTAGAAAAGTTTACTTTTGTTTTCTTTCTTCATTATAAAGCCGTCATCAGCAAAAGCTGAGTTTATGTTTATAGAGAAGCGATTAAATGATTTGAGAGTTTGAAGCTTTAATAGACAGAAAATGCAATATTTATTCATAATCTGAGAGGCTATGAAGATGTTATTATTAATTGTCACGTGGGATCTTTTCCATCATATATAACTTGTTTTCTTAATACAACTATTTATAAGACATTGATGGTGGTGTTTAGAGATGGTAATGAGACACTTTCTTTAAAAATATAGCAAATAAGGTTGAAAAGAATAATGATTTGTAAGTATCAGAACCAAACATGCCCCATGTGTTTTTTGACGTCATGTTTGGGTGACTTCTATGTGCTCTAGTGCTGAGTCAGTGTGAATGAGGACCGTTAGTAAATGATAAGACTGAACAGGCACAGAGAGAGAGCTGAATTGAATTGATGAAGTTTGGATTTAATCTGTTAAAATTCAGAAATGTTTCTTTGAGGGAGAAATCTGTTCTGTCTATCTGAGTCCACTGAAAGGTTTCTGAATATTACTGACATATAGATAAACTCTGAAAATCTTAAAGCTACCTCCCACTTTGTAGATTTCAGAGTAGACTGATGATCAGCTGATCAGACAGAGACAACGAATATATTGTTCAGTAGGAAAAAAGTAGGATTATAATCTGCTGACCAGAGGAGGGTGGAGGACGGAAACAATATGCACAAATAAAAGTAGAACTACTTCTACATATTTCTACTTAAAGTGAAAAGTAGCCCTTCCATTTTTCTTTTAAAGACTAAAGGAAAGAAATTAAAAGAATACAAGTAGGATAATTTGGAATTTTGGAAAGACAATCAGGCAGAAGAACATCTTTCAAAATATTTTTTAAATATAACATATGAAACTATTTGGTAGTTTTCATTAAAGTTACTTTACTATGGATAGCGTAGCAGAAGAGTTTATTAAAGTAAGTGAAGTGAAACGTCATATGAAGTATGAAGCGGTGAAACTACTCCTAAAAGCACAAATTTATTAAAAATTTTTACACAAGTCAATGTAACTGAGTAAAGTTAAACACTTACTAGCCACCTCTGCTGCTAAGGATATGAATATTTTTAGTGTCAGGTGTATCAAAATGCTACAATCTTCTAACTTACTACAGTATCTGTTAGCCTTCAACCTTTAAAAGAGATGTTCAGTCTTTGTAGTTTAATTTCTAAAAGAGAGCTAATTGTTGCTTCTTTCAAAAAAGGAATAAAAAAATCTAAACTAGCCCTGTGACCTTCTTTTTGTGCATTTTAAAAGCATTAATATGTATGTATGCTAAAACATGGGCAGGATCATAATTTCACGGTTGCCAATAGATGTTTCTGAAGGAACTTTGACCTTTATTCTGGGTGCATTGTTTTTCTACTTTAATAAAAAAAAGTGATGTATTCCCTACCTAAATCTGACAGAACCACAGCCTGGCTGCTGCTTTTGACTACTTTGGGATAAAGCTCAGCTCTTGCAGTTCAGTCTGTCGTCCTTGCATGTGCTCTGGATGCCAGCTTATGGGTGCTGTTGCATAGAAGCAATGAAAAAAAGTTATGACTTGATGACTCTGTGCTTCCAGAGCTGACAATAATGAGGAGAAGACTGAATACTCCAGGTAATTATTTTGCTGTGACTTTATTTTAGCTAAGTTTAACTGGGACTGATGTTGTATTGAATTCAAATGAGCGTTAGATGTAATAGCTCAGATTTCTACAGAGAAGAAAATGATTAGGGAGCTTTTACTTTGATTCAGGAAACAGCTTAGAAAGTTAGAGATTGAAAAGCTGACCTTCTGTGCAAAGCTATGTACATTTACAACTACCCCATTAAACGTATGATTAATAATTCACTAGTGTCACATTATGAATTACTTTGTTGGTTGTATACTTTTGGATTTCTCCATGTGATAAACCCGGCATAAGAAATGTCTTATCTATTTACTTGTTTACAGATCATAAGACCAGGATGTTTTTTTATTCATTAAAGACTAAATGGTTGCATTCTTTACCACAGTGAAAACCTGCATAACGCACTGAAACAATTCACTTCCAGCTGTGAAAAAATAACATAGGCTCCCAATCTTCTGCCTCATTTAATGATTTCATTACTTAACGGAAACAGCAGCAGTGTTATTAACCAAAGGTCATGTTTCTGCCACACTGAACTCAAACGGCTGGTATGATTGTTTTTTATCTTGCTGTCTAATCAGATCCTGGTTGCTGCGTGGCACATTGCGCACAGGCTTCTTCTCAGTCAAATGTTAAATAAGTGGTAAATAAATGATAAGTGTCCTATATGATGCATGCTTTAAGAAATGTGCATGATGTCGTACAGCTATTGGAGTCAAAATTAAACTAACCCCTGAAGTATTTCAAGAAAATACAGAAAAGAAAGGCCTATCATTTACTGTATTTACAATAAGGTGGTATAATCAGTGTAAGCACCAAGCTGTTATCTTGGTTAGTAATTAACAATATTTTTCTCTTTAGATCATTTTAGAGTAAAAACAGAAGCATTACTCATCCTTACTTATCTTGATCTAAAGATTGTTTTCCAGGACTCATTTACAGATTCTCCTTGTGTTGAATGTAGAGCTTAAACTGTTTTAGTTTGCTGGAATAATGGAGCCAAAGCCTGTGTGTTTCTTTGCTCTGGTAATGCTGAGCATTATGGAGGAAGCTCATGCAGCTTGGCAGGAAGGGATGTACTGCAGGAGACCTGGTTAATGAAAACAGACCTGCTGATTTTTATGGACTGAAGGAAGACAGAGCAGCATTAGTGATGTTGATGCCAGAAATCAGCAGAGAGATGGAGGGAAATCTGAACTCAAACTTCCAAAGGAGAGGCACAGACTCTCTGCTTGGATATGAGCTAAAAAAGAAGTCAGAAGAGAAACCAATTACTTTACCATATGTCAGCAAAGACATATGCCAGGAGTATCTCATTGACTGGTAGACAATTCTTTTTTCTTTTGTTTTTTTTCAGCTCAAAGCCACATATAACGTTTGAGTTGTTGCTCTCAGTCTATGGATTGAGCATAAAGGTGTTATTTTCAGATTACTGTTGTCAGGATATAATGAACAACCAACACGTTAAGCTCTCAAAGAAAAGACATGTTTTCATAACCTAACCTTCTGCATGGAGTGTGTGTTTTGTCATTGAACCAAACCTTATCTTGTTATTGGAGGCCAGTTTAATTGTGTGTTTTGCTGGAAAACCAGGGAGCTTTGCTACTGAGAGAACCAGCTTCAGACTACTGTCGCAAAGACATGGGAGGGAAGGTTTAAGACCCTGTTAGACATGTTGAATTAAGTTAACTTATAGAAGTGAAGTATGTGTTCAGTATGTGTTGCTTCTTTTCTGGTTTTAGAACTTTGTCAATAGATTGTTGAACTCAAATCAGAGCTGTAGCTAGGTCTGTTAAAGCAGTTTGCAAAAGTATCCACAACATAAATGATTTAAAACATTTAGTCAAAGTACCACCATAAGTTTTAATGTACTTATAGTAGAATTTTAGCTGGTTTACAAACATAAAGTGGTGCATATTTTTTAAATGGAATGAGGACGATACACATTTTCATCTTTGAAAAGCGTCTGAGGGAGCTCCTAAACTAAAATTTAGTTGAGCAACACTTTGAGGGAATCACTGAAATCAGGTGTTTTCTGTAAAGTTCAGGAAATGTTAAGTCAGACTTCTGCACATGTTGACAGGTAGGATGGCAAGACAGAGAGTGGGATAACTTCAAAAGCATTTATTAAAACAATGATCGTTTGTGGATCTGCAGCAGCTGCGGCTAGGGCGTCTATGGCCGTAAGCTCTGGTGAAAGGAAACACAGGTTAGTGACCACGATAATCTGACGGAGGATGACTATGAACCCGAGATTCATTAACCTGGTTTTACAGTTCAGTCAGTGCTAGAGACTGACACGGGAGTGGATTTTCACTCCTGTCCCGTCCCACTCCCACAAAAAAAAAATGTGTCCCATCCCGATCCCGGGCCAGAGTAGAGATCTAAATCCTGTCCTGTCCCACTCTTGGTGAAATTACTCCCACTCCCATCCGGCTCCCATTCAGAATGACTCCCGCTCCTGCACCACTCCCATTCGAGTCGAGTTCGCCACTAACTGTTGGTCCCTCCATTGTTGTTTTTTTTGAGCATGGGTGAAAAACTCAGAGCGGAAGCACTGTTGGTTTTTGGGTCGTGTAGTTTTTTTGACTCGCATTATAGTGTAGGCTTCAAGGAAAAAAACTACAAAATGGCGGCGCTAGTACTGGATTTTTTTCTTTCTATTTTATTTTATTTTTTGGTCTTGATCCTAGTTGTTTTTAGTTACTATTGGTTTGCTCCCGCTCCCGTCTGCTCCCGTTAATGTTTAATCCTGTACCGTCCCAATCACGTGATCGTTACTATTACTGACTCCCATCCCACCGGAATCCCACGGGAAAAATGTCAGTCTCTAGTCCGTGCCTAGGGATCAAGGATGATTCCAGCCGGTCACCTAGCAAGACGCAGTGGCAGCGCCAGAGAGTTCTAGATGTGGAAGCCTAGAAGGCTGCAGAACTGACAGGAGATCAGATCCGAGCAGACGAAGGAAGGCAGGATACAGGGCGAAGTCAAGAGGCAGATCCAGGTTCAGTCCACAGAAGAATCCAATAGGAGTCAGAAGACAGGTCAGGCAAACAGATCAGACAGGGGCAGGCAGGCTCAAAGGACCAAATACAGAGAGGGACCTGGCAATCAGAACACTATTAGAAAAGCTAGACAACGCTCACACCAAAGGCTCAAGAATAATCTGGCACTGATGGCTGGAACCAATGAGATTAAATAGGAGCAGTAGCAGGTGGATCAGACGAGCTGTGATGAGAAACAGGGCAGAGCTAGACAGGTGAATGAAATGAGCAATTAAGCCAGCCATCAACGCCAAAATCAAAAACTCAAAAGGTTCACTGTTCATGAGCAAAATACTTTAATTTGTATGGGACAGTTTGCATTTAAAATTATTTGTTTAAGCAAAAAATTCAAAATCAAAAATCTGTTTTACTAAATTACCAATTAGTACATTTTTATTTATTATCACTTTTATCAGTTTTGTGTTAATTTAATTACTAGTGAGAATTTATCATTTAATTTAATGGGAGGATATGTAAGGTATGTAAACAACTCTATAGCTCCCTACAATGAATGTAACAGTTTTACGGATGAGTCCCGACATCAGTGTTGGATTGTCCATTTTATGACTCATTTAAGCAGACCTTCCCTCTTCTTAATGGCCTTTATAAAAGCCATTCTCTCATAAAGAAGCAAATGGTAAACTCTTTATAACACTGAGAAGCTTATTTAAACAGTAAAGTTGTAAAGAATGTCTTTATTACAGTGTTGAACAAAATAAGTTTCTGCTCCTGTAGTTCCATCAACTGTTGATAAAACTTTGTTTTGGATGTGGGTTTTCTAAATTCCCACACTCATTTATAGACCAACTGAGAGCGTCATACATCTTTTCATTTCTATTTCCTGAGAATTTATACTAAATTATAAAAGCATTCATTGCATGACATTTACAGATTGAAATTAGAAATGCTAGGTAAAAAAAACAATATTTTTTTGCAATGCAGCGGGTATTAATATTTTCTAATCAGGATATGTCAGCACAAGGACATGTTTTTTTTTTAACATCCTTCTAAAATGAGAATGAGAGGCTCTCGCTTTGCATGCAAGTGCGTTGGTTCGTGTGAGCGCATTGTCACTAGGGGGATGATCCACATCCATGTTGTGACTCTAGATTTTCCATGATGTGATTTCTCTCAACCTCACTGCCCTGATCGCTGACAAATGATTGACCTTTTCACAAGGATTAATGTAACGCAAATGTATATTCTCTTTAATTATCCATTAAAGTTGGTCAGATCTGGAAACTTTTAACTTCTAATCTACCAATTCTTGTTTCCTTGCTATATAAATTACGTAACACCCCTCAAATGATAAAAGTGGATAGAAAAATCCTTTTTAAAGATGAAATATGTGATTATGATTCTTGAAATAAAAATACAACCTAATTTTAATCTCTAAATATTGAAGGACCTAAATCCCAAACAAAGTTTTTGAGCTAAACAGAATGGAGCATAAATCAAAACCCAGGGCTCTGGAGGGGATTGATTTTTCTCAAACTGAACCAATAAAGCCAACGGCAGTTGTATTTTTTTTTACTTTAATTTTATTTTTCTGTACAATTACTTTTTTTTAATTAAAATATATAATTTCAATTTTAAAGCCATCTTAAACATGCCCTGTAGGGCTGCCAATAACATGAAGATGATCATAAACAAGATCAATTTAAAACATTATATTGAACAGGTTAGGACCATAATGTAAAATGAATAAAAACAAAAAGGACACATTTTTTTTCCTTTTCTTTTTCTCATTTGTTTTTTATTTCACTAAAGTGTTGTTTAGATCCCTTATGCTGCCAGTTCTACTACTCCCAATATTTTTTTGATATCCAAGCTCCCTATCATGTGTTTTAGTTTACACTTGGTGCCACCATGTTAAAGGATGAAATGGAACAAGTACAGACTTCACACTGTTTTAGTAAGCAACCCGTTGACAAATGAGGAGG